CCCCCGGGGACTTAAGTGGAGAGGAAATGTTTTGAGAATGAGGGCAATGAATGTACAAATGCGCTTTACACAATTGATTTATGTATGGATTGTGATAAGAGTTGTATGAGCCCCTAATAAAATGATTTTAAAAAATGACTTGAAAATAAATAAATAAAACTTTCCAGGGCTTTAAGTTCCTATAACAAGATAACCAAGCTCCTGAACCTGATACTTAGCCCTTGCCCCTTCTCCAAACACAAAGCCTAATTCAAGACACTGAAACACACTCTCCTTTGCTTGCATGATTTCATGCCACCGCCATTCTATCCCTTTGCAGAGGGCTCAGCCTGAAGCCCAGTCCCAAGGCCACCTATTCGGTGAAGTGTCCATTATCCTTCCCAACAAGCCTGGCCCACCTTCTCTTCTGTATCACTACAGTATTTTACTCCCGTAACTGAGCGATCTCTTACCACACGCTATTATGCATAAACTCACTTCTTACCCCAGACTGTGGGCTCTTTGAGATAAACAAGCTTGTTTTATTCATAGTTTCTAACATACTGTTTGGCACATAAAAAGCTCTCAACAAATGTTTATGAAATCACCGGCATCTAATTGCAGAATGCCTAGAAATCGTAGCCTGGGTGCTTTATCAAGTAAGTGAGGGTCAATATGTTTCGAGAAGGCTGGGATGTGTGCTGAATCTGAGAATATAATAAGAGGAGAGATAACTGTAGGATACTTGCACCCCTACAGAGGTGAGGGCAGGAATCTAGGCACCATCAAGGCTACCCTTTCCTTCTCAGTGATAACACTCGGCCGCTCAAGTAGCAGGATTGCTGTGCAGAGACAAGAGAGGCGCAGGGGATTGCAGGCTCTTAGGGGAAGGAGAGAGTAGAGAAAAACATTCTAAATTGCAGGTGCAAAGGGGGAATGTCTAGAGTCAGAGATTACAAACTCAGGGCCCCTCCACCATTGTCACATCATTATCAACAACCAATATTTACTGTTCTCCTGCTTGTTTAGCATAGTACACTGAAAACTGTACCACAGGTATCTTTTAGTGTCCATGACAAATCTATCAGGTAGGTATCATCTACATTACACAGAAATGAAACAAAGTTAAAAATAGTTGACTACACTGCTCAAGGTTTCATGGTTAATAAGTCAAGTGATAGAGTCAGAATGAAAACAAGGATTGGACATCAAAACCCATTTTCTTTTTGCTCTACAAAATATGTGCTGAGGATGTACTGAAGTTGAGGGATTGGCTTTATTACTATGCAATATTTAGTAATCCCTGTTAGCATACTTTTTTTCTAGGACTAGGAAATGTATATTTGAGGGTGGAATTCACGTCCAATATTTTTTGTCTCTTCCCTTCTGTGTCATAATAATCCTCACAGATGAACAGATCGGTGTTTGATTAACTTGTTATTACACCGGTGTGCTCAACTCACTCATTGCTGCCGAGTCAGTTCTGAGCCAGAGCGACTCTATGGAATAGCGTTTTCGAGGCTAACTTTCCAGGAAGTAGAAAGCCCCGTGGTTCGCCTGAGGAGAAATGGGTGGATTCAAACTGCTGACCTTTCAGTTATCAGTCCAACACCAGCATACCTACGATGGCACCAGGCTCCTCACCGTGTACAAGTGGGAATCAGCAGGAAGGACACAATCTTTAGTTAGCGAACAGCCAAATGCAAAACCAGAGGACTTAACCCTCTGAAAACTAAGTGCTGGCATATGATCTTAAGTCATTAGTAGTAATGACCCTAAAACACAAGCCACAACTTTGAAAACATGGATAATGTGTGTGCGTGTATCATAATAGAAAAAATATCTAAGATGTATTGGTCTTTTTTTCAGATCTGGATATAAGCATGACAACTGAGTTATAAACTAATCAAGAAAATAAACAATTTATTTAAGTATCAAGCAGCATGTTTCAATTAGTAGCAATATCTTTGTAAAAGTTCTCTTATAGAAATATGTGAAAAAATGTAACCAAGACTTGCATCTGGTCAGTATCTGCACATAAGGTAAATATCAATTCGAGACAAAATCATCCTTGAAAATTCCTTAAGCGGTGGTGTTTGAAGAAGCAGAAAACAGCTATACCAAGAGTACTGAACTTCAGGTAGGCAATCATTGACTTACTACATGGATGCCCTATGCTGTATCAAGATATATATTATTCTGGCAAACCTGTGACTGACATCCTCAGCGACTATTACTGACAACCAACTCTCATTGTTTGTGTACACAGTACAAGTGAATAATTCAGGTATTGCAATATAGGAGTTAGTCTACATTAGTCCCGAATCCCTTTCTCAACAGTGGTTTAAAATATTAGTACCAAGACTAATCAGTGACAATATTAAAGGAAGATATTTATGCCCCAGGGAGGTAAGACTCTAACATAAATTAAAAAAGAGGTCTCTAAAGGGAGCCAAAATTGGATAAAAACACATAGATTCAGGAGTGGGTTTGGGGCTCACACTAAATCCTAACTCCAATGTAAGAGCAATTAGTTCTGACCTCATGGCTCTGTTCGATACTCGCCCTCGGGAAGGGAACACAGAAAATAAGGGCTCAAGAGCAAAGTGTGGTGACAAAATTAGATGGTGTCTGGCTATCAGATAAAATAGCATCCCAGGTCTTAAAGGCTTGTCTCCAAACCAGGAGCCATCTATATGAGATTTCAACTAAGTCCACATGAAAGAAGGACACCTACATCAGTGACCAAAGGATGGTCATCAAATAATCTGAAGGTGAAGGAAAGAATAGTATCGGAGCCTAAATTGTGCGATTCTAGTTTGCAGCAGGCTGTGGATGACAGTGGGAGCCCAAGATACATTTGTGAGATCTACACAGGAAACAAGCCTCCGTTGATTTCCCTCGATCCCTAAAAGAGGGATGGGAAGAAAGTGGTTTCCAAAGTGCATTGGAGAGATCACTACAGAAGATCAAAATGAGAAAGCTGACCTGAAACTTGTCATTTAAACTGACAAGTTAAAACCTTGACAGTTGATCTCTGCTCTGATGCACTTTGGGCCTGATCTGGTTTTCAACATTTTCTGTGTGTGTGTGTGTGTGTGTGTGTGTGTGTGTGTGTGTGTGTGTGTTTAATATTGGGGTTTATCTAAGATGTATTTTGTCTTTGGGAGTAACCCTCTTGAATTTTAGTTCTATGTTTTTCTGTTTTTCAGTACATGACACCCAGGATTGATGAACCTAGAGAGACAGCAGGTAGCATAAGGCTTCCCGGGGTGGGGGGTGGGGGCTGCAGTGGGGGAATGGGGTAAAGGGGAGCTGATGTGAAGGAGTTCAAGAAGGAAAGGAATGTTGGGAAAGCGACTGCGGTAGCAATTGTACAATACTGCTTGATGTGCTTAACTATGGAATGATACGATATCTATATTAGCTCCCAATAAAATGGTTTTGGAAAAATATAAATGAATAAAATCTCAAACAATCCTAAAAAAAAATAAAAGAAGAAGAAGATTCCTTAAATTGTCTTTAAAGCACAGAATAATATAGAAGCAGCTCCCAAAAAACCCTCTTGGGCAGCTTCCCCCTTCTCGGAACAGAGGGCCATTCCTTCTGCCATGCACATGGCTCATGTTCCGGGCCATATTGAATAGAAAAGCATTTATTTACAACCTGGAACCATAGTCACCCTCATGAGACACTTAAGAGCGCATCAGTTCCCACAGAAGGCCCACAGACACTGCCCCACATACGGGAGCTGCACACTCACGTCTCCCATCGAGCGCTAGCTTGCTAGGGCACGTGCTCGCTGTGGACCGGGAGTGCCAACTGCCGCAACAGTTCACTCATGGTGTTTGGGGGGAGTTTTGTTTTAGACTGTTTTTGGCTTGAGCCCAGATATTTTCCTTGAATGAGTTATATTCCCAGAAATACCATGCATACGATCTCTCTATTTTTTTTATTACTGTGTGACCACAGAGGCCTAAAATTTTAAGTACAAATAATCTGTATTCTAATTCGACAGTTTGTGATTGAACTCGGTAAAATAATTGACTTCTCTTACCTTCGTCTATTGACGCTTCACTACTGTACCCATCATACTCTGCAGACAGAGGACTGTACTTTTGTCTTGTTTCCCAAGTATAGTTCTTTTGTCTGGAATCTGCCATTGGCAGTCTGGAATTATGTGTTCTGGACAAGGCCTCATGATATTTTCCCAGGGCTTCATCTTCACTTTCAGAGGATGAACCATGCTCATCTTGGTCCAGATATGAATTATCTATTTGGAATTGAAGAGAGATAAAAGGATCATTTTTATGCACTGAAATAGGACAAATTTACTTACATTATATATATGTATTACCATATACATACATATGAGCAATTAAAACATATATCCATATACTTATATTGGTCTAAATCTGCACACACATAAACTATATATATATATGCAAATATACTTATTTTTCTAAAGTTACAATTTCATAGAGTATGTGTACATATGTATATAAAGCTTGCGTGTGTGCATATTTATATCTATATAAGTATATAGCTATGTTTGAATCCTTAAATTTTCCATTTAAGGACTGTGTGTTAGTTTTAATAGAAAAAGATATAGTTTGCACATGCTAGTTATATCCATAAGTTAGTCATATGGATTTTTCAACCATGTTGAAAAGAAAGTATAGTATTATATAAAATAAAGCACAGTGCTCCACAACTTATACAATTTTTAAAAAATTAAAATATATTTGGGGCCCTACCACACGCACATGCATTTTACATCAGTACTAAGTGTCTGTTTGTCTCTCAGGTCTTAACAATCAATTGAAAACATTAGGAAAACATTTAATTTGGTCAAATAAAGCAGTCAGGTTTTTATTTAAAGGGAAAGACAGCACATATAGGAAGTGTTAAGTTAGTACTCAAAATGTTGTGAGGAGACATTTTTGGTTGTCATCTTAGCCAAATTTTTCAAAACTGTCAACATGCCAATATAGAAGTAAAATGGAAAAATGGGCAGATTCATATATTTGTACTGGTTTTATTATCACTGGTCAGCTTCCTAGAGAACATTTTGACAATACAGACCAACGTTTTAAATCTGCAAAGTATTTGATGATCTATTTCTATGAATTTATCAACTCCATTTCTAAGAATTCAGCCTAACCAAATCATCATCGTGAGCAAATATATATACATATGTATGTATGTATGTATGTATACTTAAGACAATTCACTGAAGAGTTGTTTTTAAGAGCAAAGGAGGAAAAAAATCTATTTAAGTAGCCTAAGGGTCCTGCAGAGAGTTTTGGCTAAGTGAATTGTGACATATTCATACAGAGAAACACTGCAGTTATTAAAAATGGGGAGGTGAACAACCACAAGTACTGGTAGGGAAAGGAGAGCTATTCCAAAAATCTAAAAGATGTTATGAAACATGAGATGCACCTATAGCCCCAGTGAAAGCACGCTCTATGTTCACAAGCATAGAAAGAAATGTCTGGGAGGGTGGACATCAAACTGCGAATACTACCTGCCCGCAAAAGGGAGAGTTATGAGAAAATTCTTACTTAAAAGTTAAGCCTCAACTTCAGATACAATGTTCAGAATCTATAAATGTTATATTTTTAAATACTAGTTATCATCTTAATAATAAAACAGACAACACAGTTGGAAATTGTACTATGCTGAGATTCATTGAAACCAAGAAGCTTACCTTCTCAGAATTATCAAATAACTCTAGATTACAGTAGTGAGAACTGGCTATATCAATCTAACTATTTTCTTTTAATTATTTTATTGGGGGCTCGTACAAGTCTCATCACAATCCATACATACATCTACTGTGTCAAGCACATATGTACATTCGCTGCCCTCATCATTCTCAAAACATTTGCCCTCCACATCAGTTGCTCATTTTCCCCCTCCCTCCCCATCCCCCCCCATGAATGCTTCATAATTCACAACTTATTATAGTTTTTTCATAAATTACACTGTCCAATGTCTCTCCCCAATCTAACTATTTTTTATAATCATTTGAGGTCATCTGAACTAAAGGAGTCAAGATTTGAAGCTTTGATGGGGAGGCAGAGAATTTTAAGATATGGGACACCATTTTTAGAGTTAGAAGCCAGTGGGTTTAGATATAGCTACTAAATTTCTGTTGTTTAATAAAATAAAGGAATCAAAAAAGTAAAACTATGACCAACATATTTTTTTGTGGGTGGAGAAATATTCTGCATTGACCAATATAGCCAAATAGGGCTATTTAAATTTAAACCAACTAAAATTAAGTAAAATGTTCCATTTAGTTCTTCCGTGTCATACGCCACATTTCATATGCTTAAAAGGCAGAGGTAACTAGTGGGTGCTGCACTGAGCCATGCAAAACTAAAAAACATTCCCATTACAGCAAAAAGACCCAGTGGACATGAGAAAATAAATAATAATTTATAAATGATCAAGGGTTCATGAGGGAGGGAGGGTGGGGCAGGGATGAAAAAAATGAGGAGCTGATACCAAGGGCCTAAGTAGAAAGAAAATGTTTTGAAACTGATAATGGCAACCTATGTACAAATGTGCTTGACACAATGGATGGATGCATGGATTGTAATAAGAGCTGTATGAGTCCCAATAAAATGATTTTTTTTTTAAAGTCCCACTGGAGGGTGCTGAGAAGGTAGCAGAATCAGCTTAGACCTTAAGCCTTTGATTCAGTTCAGAGCTTTTCTACTTTCTAAAAGAAGACCTCTATGGTGGCTTAAGGCAGCAGGAGAACTTTGAGACGTTTGTGGAAAGGAACTAAAAGTTCTAAGTGATATTTCACTTATTATAAAAAATTTTACCTACAATAGCCCTGCTTCAGAAATAAGAAACTCTTCTTTCTACTTTCTATGCCTTACAATCCCTGTATCAGAGCCCAGAACACACGTCTTATCAATAGTGTATCATGGTAAAGCAACCCAAGTACAACAAAATGGGACTGTGGTGATGCACAGGATTTTCACCGGTTGATTTTTCAGGAGTAGATAAGCAGCCTTTTCTGTCCAATCTGTTTTAGTCTGGATATTCCACAGAAAGCTAGTCAGCATCATAGCAACATGCAAGCCTTCACTCATAGGCATGGGAGACTGAGTAGACTGGAAATTGTACGTGGAAGGCCAGAATTCTACCATTGAACCACAAGTGACCCCTCTTCACTGTACCAACAAAACACGCAACACGCAATAATGCTCTGCATCAAATCCATTCCATTTCCCAGCGGCCCAACAGAGGGTTTCTGGCGCCGCATCTTTATGGGAGCAGTCAATCTCATTCAGCTAAATGGAGGGTTAATCTTTCAGAACAAATTTTGGAATATAAAATGTTTGAGTTTAATTCTGGTAGGATTCTGGAACCCACCACTTGCCTGTTAAGTTGTCATACTGCGGTGCTTGTGTGCCGCTGTGTAATGTTGGAATAATCAATCTAGGAAAAAAATAGAAGTCATCAAAAATAAGTGAAGATTGGCATTGCTGAGCTGAAATGAACTGGTACTGGCCATTCTAATTCAGACAGGCATAGAGTTTCCTGTGCCTGATTGACACATTCAATAGGAAGGTATTGTATTCATCATCAAAAAAGAACACTTCAAGAAATTTCTCCACATGCTTTCTGTGATAAGGTATTACCTTTATCACAAGAAATGTTGTCTGTGATACGATAATATCTGTACACAAACAAGGTAATCCAGTTAATACAACTATTATTCAAATTTTCACATCAACCACTAAAGCTGGTAATGAAGAAAATGAAGAACACTACTACTGTCCTACTCTGAAATTGATCAAACATGCACTCAAGATTCATTGATAATTATTGGCAACTGGAATGCAAAAGTTGGAAACAAAGGAAAAATTGTTAATTAGAAAATATGCCTTTGGTGATAGAAATCAAGCTGGAGATCAAATGACAAAACTTTGCAAGGCCAAAAACTTTCATCGCAAATACTCTTTTTCAACAAGAAAAAGGTGGACATCTTCAGCTGGGATACCTAGAAATCAAATTGGCAACATCTGTGGGAAAAATGGAGTTGCTCAGTATCAGCCATCAAATTGAGGCCAACTGCTGACTGTGGAACAAACCACCAACTGCTCGTCTGGAAGTTCATATTGAAGGGGAAAAACTAAAACAAGCCCACGAGAGTAAAAACCAGCTCTGTGTCCATCCAGCTGCCTTCAGAGGCCATCGCAAGACCAGACTTGAGTCCCTGACCACTAACGACAGAAGACCTGTCAGCTGTGGGAAGACATCAAGGACATCAGATGTGAAGTTAGGGAAAGGTCATTAAAAGCACAGAAAAGAAAGAAAAGATCCAAGTGGATTTCAAGAGTCTCTGAAACTTGCTCTTGATCACAGAGCACTAAAGCAATGATCGAAAGAAATGATCAAGTAAAAGAACGGAACAGAACATCTCAAAGGGAGCGCCAAAGGCCATAGAAGAGTATGCCAAGATATATGGAAGACTTGAGCAATTAACGAAGAGATCTATATTTATACCCATTCCAAATACATGTGACCCAACAGAATGCAGAAACTATTGAGCAATATTATTAATATCACATACAAACAAAATTCTGCTTAACAGCATTCAACAATGGTTGGAGTATAACATCCACAGGGAGCAGCCAGGGATTCAGAAGAGGGTATTCAATGAGGGGTACCATTGCCGATGTCAGATGGATCTTGGCAGAAGGCAGAGGATAATCAGGAAGAGGTTTAATGTCACAAATTCAGGCTGGATATAGAAGAGGATGTGGGAAAAGGGGTATCTATCATTGCCGATGTCAGATGGATCTTGGCTCAAAACTGGAATATCAGCAAGAGGTTTACTTGTGTTTATTGATCACTATGTAGAGGTATTTGACTGTGTGGATCCATAAAACCTTATAGATTAACACTGAGAAGAATGGAATTCCAGAAAGCCTCATTGTGCCGATCCTGGACCTGGACCTAACAGAACAAGGGAAAAACGAGAGGCTTAAAATCAGAGAAAATGTTCATTAGGGTTATATCCTTTCACTATCCTTATTCAACCTGTATGCTGAGCAGATTGTAGGAGAAACTGGACGAGATGAGGAAGAAACTTGGACAAATGAGGAAGAGAGCAGATTGGAGGAAGACTTATTAACAACCTGTACTATGCAGATGAAACAATGCGGCTTGTTGAAAGTGAAGAGACTATGGAGCATTTGCAAGTGAGGATCAAGGACACGGTTTTCAGTATGGATTATAACT